AGGTCCTTCGCCTCCATCGATGGGCTCGGTGTACCTACTGCCTTTTATCGACTGAACCACCAGGTGAAAGGAGGCTACAACAATAACAAACTGCTCATTTAAAATAGTGGTAACGATCTTCTTTGAGCGCAAGGTTTCTCCTCAAGTCTGTCCGGCCATGGTGACCGCCTAGGGAGGGTAAAATTCTTGTCCCCTTTGTCACCTTAAATAAAACGGTAGTTTACCACCACGTTCAGATGACGGAGTACCGTACAGCATCTAAAGGCTTGGTAGAATGATTTTACAACCAGTTGAGGGCAACGGTCCGAACGCACACAGGATATTTATGGTGCAGAACCTACCTCTAGTCCTTTCTGTCCTTAGGAACACTGTTGAAAAATAAAACGAATCAAAACAAACGAAGATGTTTTAGTGGGCACGCTGCGTTTGCTAGGACTGCTGGTGGGAACGGTACCAGCACTTTGTACTCCCTTATTCGACTATAGTCGTCAACTTGCTGGGTTAGCTTACCAGATGCATGCGTCCCGCTCTGTCGCTGCACGGTTGCAGAAAACACCGCTGCACGTGCCTGGAAGAATGATCACTTTCTCAAACTTACCTTTATTGCGTAGGCGGTGTTCGACAGTCGCTGCAGTCGTCGTGCACCGGACCATTCAAATTAATCAACAGTACCACCGTACCATCAACCTCAATGGCCGATGGGAAATTGTCATCATCGACCACCTAAATCCAGCTTCGTGGAGAAAATCACTTTGCTTCCGTCGTCTAATAATGCTTCAAGCGATATTGCAACAAACCGCTATAATTCTCAGCAGAATAGTGTCAACTAATCGGACCACGATTCCGGTATACAGACAGTAGTAGTCACGGCACCTGCCAAATATAAACTATTGCCTCCCACAAGCAGCCATCGTGATCGGTAGCTTCGTTAGCCAGTTCATTGCGCAGATTATGCATAGTCTAATTATGACTAGAATTACAAGGATGGTATATAGTTGCCTGGACTTTGATCGATTTTAGTTTATAAACAAAAAATTCAATATGTATGAATGCTTTAAAAAACCTTAGCAATTTTGCATGCAACTCCTTCTTTTCTGTTGACGTTTCCGGTGTAGATTTTAATGTTCTCCTCCCTAAATGCCACAAGCCTCTCCTTCAATGTACTGTTCATCCCGAGCGACGAGTTCCAGGGTTTCCGCAGTCAACGACGGATTATGCGCGGTAGCGGAACTCTTTTTGTGGAACAAGGATAGTTGTGGTGCAGCACAGGTCACGGCGAGGAGACAAAGCACTCTAAAGCATATTGTTTCACGGTAGCATACTTTGACTTCCCGCCGGCCATTTCCTGGATTGACCAATTTTGTATGAGATCCTATAAACCCTCAATAACGGTTTTCTTTGTTGCACCCATTTCTGAAATCGTTAAATAATAATTAATAAACGGCACAGCGGATTGCGCTTTTCTAAGAAATCGCACATGACTCGAACGCATGCGCTCACTTTCACTAGACACAGTTTTGCCGTTCGAACATCAATTCATCTAACGTTTTCGACATCATATGATATTTTTGTCCAACCAATACGGAAAAGGTTCTGGAACGCCAACCAAGATAACATATTAATTACTCACAGTTATACTGCTGTTCATTTGTACATTCTAATTTCATGTTTCAATCTCCATTACACTGCAGCCGTGTTGGCCTACAGCAGGTTCAACTTGGTCTGCGCTGTGAGTTATAGTGCTGAATTTCTTTTTTGTCGTGCTTCATCCGTCCAAATATTTCGTAGCCTATCGAAAGCAGTCCTCCGTGTCCGACTTCATTTGACTTCGCATATCTGGGTTCGCATGCGCGCATCGCTACGGAATAAAATTAACTGGTCTTATAATGTTGCGCTTCAATCAATAGTTACACCAAACACGTTTGGATTAATTCTGGCCGCTGACGTTCAATAAGTACATACCAACTCAGATACTCTTCCATATTGCTATGAGTGTAGATGGTTAGAATAATGATGTGGTTAAACGATGAACCTAACCATGTGGTTAACTTTCAGGATATAAAAGCTTATGCAGTTAATTTGTGAGTTAACTAGTAGCCGCTTACATATTCAGCAAACATACGCAAATATAATGTGGACTTGGAGGTGTCTACCTGGACTATTCAGATTATAATTTGGGGAGGTTTCCTGATGAAACCGTAAAATGGTTGCAGCATGTATGTGAAAACTAGGCAGGAAGCAAAAAGATTGCATTCATAATATTGCGTGGTATGTTCCATTGAAGGTGACTGTTGAAATAAGGTTTAATTGGATATATATGTTGGATAATCTGCTGCTACCAGATTGTATCACATGCATTATTTCACAAAAATGATCGCGTCTTCCAAACAGCAAGAATAGCCGTGGCGCTTCCTAGCAAGTGTTGCACTGCTATGCGCTACCTTATGCGGACTGCATAACAAGATCGTTAAGTGCCAAGTATTTGTTTCATCAATCGCACTCACTAGGGTTTCTTATTTTACGTTAGAACATAATTTCTGTTTCCCAAGTAATTACCACAGTATGGCTAATCGTAATGGATCCTGTGGGGGGCAAGTTTTGTTGCCAAACTAATGTGGTTTTCTGTAGATTTTACTTAGGTATATGATATGGTTGGATGTCTTTAATTAGTGTTGTATTATCTGATGCATTAGTAAGCCTATATCGATGAATCCAAAGAGAAATAAGACTTATGGTTTGTTATACTTCCACTTTTTCCGGAGGTTACATTGTTTGATTGCACATGCAAGTTTGTTCTGCTTTACACTGCTTCGCTGATCCTCTTTGTTTTCTCTATCTTTTATCGAAATGTAACGTTGTTGTCAAAGGTGGTTTTGCCATCTTGTGACTTGTCTTACCTACATTAATACATGTTTGTAATTACATATTCAAGCGTTGCAGAAAATCATTTTTGCCATCTAACTTCATTATTGCGTTTTTGTTATAAGTTGACCGTAAATGCATAATTTCAAATCAAACATATAAAAAAAGTCTTTCGTTTAAGAAAACCCTTTCACCTTTCCCAATATTACTTGAAATTAGATAATTTTGACGTGGTAGCAAATGTGCCGTTATTTCCTCAATAAAACGTACTGCGCATGCATGGCGGTCTTTTAGCTTTACTTGCAAGAATTATGACAATTGAGAGACAAGATATATACGAGAGCATGGTTGAACATAAGCGCTGTTAAACCAAAGATTTATAGTAAAATCTTACTATGAATCTAAGACAGGAAAATTCGATAAAATTGCAGCTTAGTCTATTTTACCCGGAAGCGGAGGTGACCGGGAGTTACAGTGAGTCACAAGTAGGAAATTAAGCAGGGTACCGGATGATTTAAATCTATTCCTGTAAAACGAGCGATGAAAACATTTTGTTATTATTATTATTAGTCAAGACCTCCAGTACTTTATTAATGCGCTTATTGACCAGGTCTTCAGTGGCAAACATAAATCTGAATGAAAATTTAGTGGTTTTGAAGTAATCAACAAATTGCGCGCTACTTGTTCAGTAACCAAATAGCAAATATTAGTTAAATACTAGCGCCAAATAAGGAACTCAATATCTTTGGATTAGCTCGTCATATGCTAAACTGTCCTCCGTTGTCAAGGAAATTGAAAGTACCTCTATAGTACAGTGTACAAATAAGAGATATTTGCCCCTATCTACTTTTTCGAAAGAATGCTTATTTTCTTTTTGTTTAAAATTAGGCGAAAAATATAATAATTTACCTCAGTATATTTGATTAGTACTTGTCTACTAAAGCGATAATAAATTGGAGCAAATTCGATATATGTTACGTAATATATCGCACATAATGTGTTTCAGCGTTATAGATTGCAGAAATGTGTAGCATAACGAAAGATCTCAAAGTTATTGTAAGATTACGTGAACTAAATACGGACAAGGAAAAACAAGGTATCAGTCGGTTGTTGGTGTTGAGCTATCCGATTGAAAAATTATCCACTTCAATGGAGTAGTGAGCTTTTCACATTGCCAAAAAACATTAATTGTTGGCGCCAGACAGTTCAGAACTTTGCCATCTCCTTCTGACTATCAAGTCACTGGAAACGAGTAGTCGTAACTCAAGATTCGCTTCATTTTGAGCCCCTATCAGTCCAATGAATTTATGCTTTGTATTTTCATATGATAACATCTTTACCTTGCCCTATTAACCCGCCCGATTTGTAAGTTGTGTTGAAGAAATGCAGCTGTTGTTTTCCTCGTAAAGCCTTTGCGATTCCATGTTGAGTATTTTTCCTGCAGCCAACCAGTGTAGATTTATTTTCGTGGCTTCACTAATGACACATAACAATGAATGCTTTCAAATTTTGCTCATAAACAGTTTTGGAAACGTGGTTATTCTGATTTACCTGTGGATCTTATTATTATTTCTAAAATTGAAGATAAAAATTGGATAAAAAATTACTAAATCTGAGTGTGCAGTTTAACCGTTTGAGCTTCATTTGAATTTATCAACCACGCCAGGGAAGTTGTGGTTGAGGCGATGGAAGTTGGAACCCCGAAAAAACAGGTATGCATATATTCAATCAAGTTATAGCTATATGACACAAATGCTGTGTATCGCATCATTATTTTCGCTAGTCATATGAGACAGCCGTAAATTTTATTCGTATGGAAACTGCCAATGGTTCAATGAATGAACAGGAACTCTTTCACATAAAAAACATAACTTATTTGGTTGTAGATGCAACAAAAAGTGAGTACACAATGCTGAATTTTAACGATGAGTTATCCACTACTTTTTAATAAAGCATGTTTCAAGACTAGACAATCTGCTGGGAAATAGGCCAGATTACAGAAAATCTAGCTATAGAAAGTTTGTGCTTCATGTTACTTAACGTTTATCCATAGTACATCTGGTAGAGTGGAATAGTTTTCAGTTAAGCATAACCCTCTAAAAATGTCGGGCTATCATTAGAAATTAAAACCTACCTACCTGTTATTGAGTTGGAAATATCGCAGAGAACAACAATGCAAAACTTCCATGTATACCTCCATTGTACTCAATCTTAACGCCATCAGGCTAGCGCTTAGTAATGCTCAAATATTTGGCTGAGCAAAGTCTCAGCTTTGCTTCATAAGTTTTCTGAAACCGACAACCTTTATTCAGATTATGAGGAGCCCAACTCAAAGCACTAAAACTTTTCTGACCCTTAATTGTCAGTTGTAAAAACGGTGTACAAATCCACAGGTCCCGTGGATATTGTCCACTGGCAAATACCAACTCTCTGGTCAAGAAGATGGAAACCTATCATGCTACCCACGAACGAAACTAAAACATCCATCACAATTGCAAGGTTTGGCAAAACATGTAGTCAACTTTTGAGGGCTTCCGGTCTTTAACACTAAAGTACGCTATTTACGTTAGCAACCAGATGAACGATACCTAGTCGTTCATAAAAAACCATTACTGGAATCGAAGTGGGTCATGCAAATACCGAACAAACGAATGCTAATATAATTATCGATTACACAGTTTCCCTTGTCAGGAGACAAGTTTGACAAGTTTACTTGTGAACAGTTCCGGATGTTTCCTGTCTACCTGAATTTAGTAGAGCTGAAGTGCATGTATTCCAGTAATGATGTTTTCAACCATTTCTAATGCTTTTGGCCTCGAATTTAATACACTCGTAAACGCTTTTTGACTTGGCCGATGACTTAATTACCATGCTCACACCCGTGTTTTAAAATAGCTTGACAGCTGTGCTTTGCCTCGGCAATTGAAGAAACCTATATTCTGTATTATGCTTAGTAGTAAAGATATTAACCGCCCTCGAACAACAGGCAAGTGACCTTAAAAAGCGTGGTAGTCATTTGACTACAAAGTTTGTGAGTTATTCGGTGGGAAAGGATTTGAATACACTTAACGGCATCACTGCTGCCAATAGAGAAGTGTTAAAACCTATCCCCGTCTGACGTAATTCCTTTTTGCTCGTGAAATTTGGGCTGAAGCGATCCAAATGTTGTTAACCATTCACATGTATTTACTCGAATTTCGGAAGGTACTTGACATCATTAGGATATTTAGGATTCTTCTACAGTTGAACTCCTATAAAATGCCTTGTCGCTTCCTTATTTGATACCCGTTGCTTCGTAGAAATGAGAGAGAATATGTGTAAATAGAAGAGCGTAACATTTATTTTAGACACGCTATTCTTCGATGGATTCTACAGCGCTTCTTACTAGGTCTTATAAGTGATATATATTACGAGCTTCACCTACATCGGCAACTATTTTTGCAATACCTTAGGTTGCTGATCATTATTGAGATTTCTCGCGGATTCTGATGTAAGCTAGATTATTGGTGACATGCTCAGAGCTCAGTCATACGTATAGCTTTTGTCCATTACTCTGGGTAATCTTGTTATCATTTGCATCCGAGCAGTCATTTTGCCCAAAACATAAGTTTTGGCCAGAGATAAATTCACGTTATTACTCAGTAGGTTTATACATGTTCCATGGACACTTTAGAATTTCACTTTAACGAGAGTTGGAAGAAGGTTGTCTTTGCAGCAATTCGCATAAATTGGTTCATTTAACATTCCCTCGCGTTCTTCAGCGCATATTTGCATGCAGAATTCCTTTTGGCTCTAAAGCCACAGACGTGTTAACCATTTAAATTATTAGGTAAAAATATAACTAGACGGAATTCTGCGAGAGAGTGCTTTGTTAGGAAAATTTTCTACGAGGACAAACATTTTGCGAACATCTGCTCATTTTAGGAATAACTTAAATAAATACCGGGGAAATAGAGCAGACCAGATGCGCAACTATCGTAATTCGTCAATTTATGCTGATTCCTACCTGTTCTGACTATTTAGTCTCATTAATTATTTGGTCCCTACAGTCATTCATTAACGCCGCACAAGCTGCGTTATTACCAGGTTACGAGGCAACTTGTTTTTCTCGAGGAGTTTTATGAGCTTAAATTCGTTTCCGGAGCACGGGGTAAGAGCATCTATGAAAAAGTTGCTTAAACCTCAGCGAGATTATTTCGGGTAACAATATCAAAAACTAGCTTACTTCTAAACGACAAGTGCAATCGGAAATCCCACCAGAATGTTGTTTTCATTTAACGCCTTTCCATAGCAATCGTGTTATAACCGTTTCTTTGCCCACATTCTTATTTGACAATAAAACGTGGTTTATTCAATTGTCTGGTCTGTCGAGAATCATTATGCAAGATAAATGGAGAGTAACTGGTGGACAAGAATACGATTTGATCATTTAAACTTAGCTCTACACGTGCTATCACTTTCTGATTCAATGAAATATCGTAAAAGGAATATTCAAGGGTTTATACTATTGTTCCTGGAACAAAAGAACTTCTAATTTGGTGGTTTTGTGGTGCACCGCAGTGTATAATGTATTACACGGACAAGTGTAAAACTTTGTTAAACCTCTATTTCACTAGCACGACGAAGGAAGGAAACAAGTTAAGAAAACTGAACGGTTGACTAATCACGGAGAACTTGAACTGGAATAATCGAATGCCAGTATTTGACAGGGAGTCAAATTGATCCAATAGATTCATAAGCCTTCTAATCTCGTTAATGGTTAGTGAAGCGTTAACAATCGTAGGCGTGACCTACTAAGAACTGACGGTCAGTCGTGTGGTTTAACGTCAGTAAATACAATTGGATTTCCCCAGTTAAGTTTCAAACCTAGACCGCCAGAAGAATAAAATGTGAACTCAAGGGAAACTGTGGTTCACACAAACGTTTCGAGTGAAAATGGAAACTTCTGATTGAAACGTTATATATTCGCATATTATACAGAATAGGTACATAAATGTTTTGGACGTAAATTTTGTACCCACTTTATTTTATTTTTGTAAACATTAACATTTTCTCCCCTTGAGTTGAGAATTTGCTGATCAGCTTAAAAAACGTTTCAAGCTTTTGCGGAAACACAGACCATGATAGTTTCAGCAGAATGAGAATGCATGTGATACCGATGTTTGTATTGGTACACCCCTGAGGAATGAAAAGTGTTTTGTCATCCACTAACGGCAAATATACGGATATTGCTGTGCCCTATAGAAGCGTTAGCTAAGTGTTGGCTTTGACATCGCCAAAGTCATGCAGCTATATTTGAATTATCACTTATGTTGTGTGAACCAGATGGACATATTAAATTATTGCATCTATCGTTCCATTGCAGCCTGCGATTTGCATTGTATTTCACGTCGAATATTAATGCACAAAAGTTAGCATTGCTTCAAACTATACCATTTAGTTAGGTACAATCGAACGCTGCACATACAAACGGTACTTCAAATTTACTGCTGTCTGTTGCTTTATTAAGCAATATTCAATGTGGTACTAAATTTCTATGTCAACTATTTCTATGTCAACCATCTTAATATAAAGAAGTAATATCCGTGGGATTTTGTGAATGTCCTTTATCTTCAAATCACCAAACGTTAATCACCTTCAAATGCTTAACGGGACTGAAATTTTAAAGAGCACACTACAAGCTGTTTAATTTCATATTCCGCTCAAAAGCCTGTTATGTGGCGGCCATAATTCCCGCCCATTGTGTGAGTTATCGTACGCAATGAATGTCTTGTTTGCCTTCGTACATAATATAAAAAGTTTGCTTAAATTCTGATTAGAAATTCACCGTTACGTGCAGATCAATAATTAATATTCATCTATGTTACATTGTGTTGGCATGTATCCCTAAAGTCTTATGATGAATTGGCTAAAAATTTGTACGCTTACACTGACTTCTGATGTATTAACCTTGTGCTTTTCATCGACTATCCGTTTTCTTAGTTCGATTTCACCTTGTCGTAAATCGTCACATGTTAAAAAGGCATGCGTTTCGCTGACTAAAACTAGTTACTTTGCATTTCAACTTTCACGAAATTACTATTGTCAGTCGTAAGTTGTATGCATGTACAAAGCTAGAACCGGCTGTGAAACTTGTTGTACTGCAAGAAGAAAGCGTTACTCAAGGCCTGACCTTTTATGTGTTGGTTTAAAATTTACTGTAGAATTGTTTCCTCTAGTTGATTAAAACAACCAGCAAATGAAGTTACCTGGCTCAGGAACTAAGCTGGTTTGATACAACAAGTCCTTATCATTCAACGTAAGCAAAACGTGGAAACGTATATCATCACTAAATATAGATCACATGGCTTGGCGATCGCACCCTGCTCATGATATCTGGATCGTACATGTGACCTAGCCCAACAGGTGTAATACACTTGTCAGCAGGGAAGATGCAGACCACTGACAACAGCTGGCCTGCAGTTCGGATACACCTATTTACCATTTAAAATAAACTTAGTTTGAATTGCTAAATATTGTCTCTCCGCCGCACATGCTAATGCGGTCTTGTTCCTATGCGTTTTTGTGACATATTTTTGACCCAACTCAGTGGTATGTATGAGGTGCTCTCAATGGCTGAAATTGGTGCATCCTTACAACGAGGCTCAAATGCAGTGTTTCGAACCTCGTGACCGATGGATGGAGCAACGAAATTTATACCAAGCTGCATAGAACCAAAATAGCCCGGTGCTATTACAGACGGAACGGAGGTATTTTTCGAGATTGCCACTAAATCCCACTCAATATTCGACGCGCAAATACTCGTACTACGAAACCGTTGTCTGTTATTCATATCTTGAAGCCGAACCCCTACTCGTACGCGTTATTAAGGTGTATGAGGATTAGTATTTTCTCACTACTGTGGACGTACATCATTAAGGTGTATCAGTGCTGACATTCCGCAGTTCCCAACTTGAGTCCGGATGCAGCCTCCGCAACCAAACGCATGAGTTGAGGTTCCTATGCGATTTAGTTTTCCTCACTATGTTTTAGTATCCACCTGGTGACCGGAACTCCACAGCATAGGAATATGTTCGTATGTTCATTTGTCTAGTACATTTCGCGTTATCCTAGTGTTTGACCTGAGTGCGACTCGCATAGCGAGTGACCCCAATTGGTCATGTGATGTACATGTAGGTGTGGCTGTCTCAAATATCAGGC